AAGAAAGTTTAAGATGTTGGGGAAAGAGCTAGTAGCGGGTTAGCCGAAATTGAAGTTCAGCCAGTGGCGAACATGTTGCTTTTTTTCTATGTCCTCATTCAGTTTCTATAACACATGAGTTTGCTGTGACTATAGTGCTCTATGCTAAATTATTAAATGTGCAGATATATTTTTACAGACCAAGGTTATGTTAGACGCTGGGAGCAGAAGACTGGGTTCACTGGTTCTGACTGGGGTAAAAATAATTTTCTTCATAGCAGCTGGTGTGGTGCTATGTTTGTTTTTGTGACTAAAACAGTGTTGATACCGCAGGGATGTTTTAGCTATTGCTGAGCAGTGCTTACACAGAACCAATGCTTTTTCTGCTTCTCACAGCACCCCACCGGCAAGTAGACTGGGGATGCACAAGAAGTTGGGAGGGGACACAGCGGGTTCAGCTGGCCCCAGCTGGCTAAAGGAATATTCCATACCATACAACATCATGCTCAGCATATATAAAGCTGAGGATGAAGAAGAAAGTGGGGAGATACTCAAAGTGATGGCATTTGTCTTCCCAAGTAACTGTTATGTGTGATGGAGCCCTGCTTTCCTGGAGATTGCTTAGCACCTGCCTTGAATTCCTTATTTTGCTTTGCTTACACACACAGCTTTTGCTTTCCCCATTAAACTGACTTCATCTCAACCCATGAGCTTCCACACTTTTACCCTTCTGATTCTCTTCCTCTTGCTGCTGTGGGGTAAATGAGCAAGCAGCTGTGTGGGGCTTAGCTGCCTACCAGAGTGAAGCCAAAATGTTGATTTAAAAGATTTTTACTGGCTGGTCTGACAGGGGGTCGAGACCAGGCTCAGAGAAAGGTCATTGCAGGTGATTTCTATATGGAGCAGGTAGGGACTGTACCATTCCAGATGAAAGAGTAAATAACTGTTGGAAACATTAACAACTGTGTCCACCTTGATTATTGTGCCCTTCTGTATGTGGTACGTGCTTCCTTCCTACCTGAGGAAGATGTGGACCAAAACTTTCGTTCTCCTAATCCGCTTTTGTCACCAGGCAATTTAGTGATGTGGAAGAGCAATATTGCCAGGTTCAGTGTCAGTGTTACGGCATGATAAAAAGTTGTTCGACTTCATCTCCTGCACTGGTTTCACCAGCATTCACTCTTGGATACATTTGATCTAATTACACTGCTTATCTTCCAACTGCTCCTCGAATGACCTCTTGTTAGGACTATTTAATACTAATGTGTCTTCCTGTGTCATGTAAACTTTTTTTAAAACCAGAATTTTAATGAGCAGAAGAGCAGCGCAGCTGTATGATAAAGCTTTCATTAGAGGATTCCTTAATAGAACCCACTTCCAGTCCTTGATTGCATAATCAACAGCTAATGAAATTGTCTTGGTAACAAGAGCTACAGTGTATTACATCCTCTCCTGAGACTAAGTAGAAAGACAATTGTACCAACCTGAGAGGACTATTGATTGTTCACAGTATGAATTTGATTGCCCTTATGGGAAACTAAACAAGAGATCATCTTCAGCTCTGCTAAATGGATTCTGTTTCCACTGAAAGTTACTGGTTCACTTTCATACAAGGCGTTGGGGGGGCAATAAACACAGGCGGTGTAATCTCATTACAGATTTCCTGAGTCTGCAAGTTTGAAAGCACTGATCTCTGTAAAACAAATGGTGGCTGCTTAGTTCAGGTCCTCTGTGGTGTTTCTGTGTGTTTAAACTAAGTGGGAGCTCTGAAGGGATGCCCCAGCCCAATGTGTGTTGCTTGTCTTGTTGCAGGAGGGAATCCCAAAGGGAAGTTCGCTCTGGGACTGGTGCAGAATGAGTGGAAGGTTTATGTTAAAAGGCCTCTAGATCGGGAAGAGCAAGACGTTTATTATCTGAACATCACCGCCACAGATGGCCTCTTTGTAACCCAAGCTGCCGTGGAAGTGACCGTCACTGATGTTAATGATAACAGTCCAGTTTGTGAACAGGTGAGTTAGCAACACCCGCTGCAATCGACTGTTTTGTTGAAAGCGATGGTTTCCCTATGAGTGTCCCTACTATTTACAGATATTCACAGTTGATGCCTATTTTCATCCTTAAGGTCTTAGTTAAAGAATCTGGAGTGATCTGGTAAAGCAGCAGAACAAAGCAGTCCTGTGAAGCCAAGACTGAAGGATGATGGTCTAGTAAAACTAGCAAAGGAGTCTTGTCCCCAGTGGCCTT